CCGTTGCTGTCATGTAATGTACAGTACATATACACATGAATATCTCGTCTTGATCCATTACACATGTACTTCAATTCCTCATCACAAGTGGTAGAATTGTAGCTGGATTTTGTGGGCGCAAATCTCGAAGCACTTTCACGGGTTTCTGTCTCTGGCTTGTCCAGGGCCAGTGCAGCTGAAGGAAAGATGGGATTCACCATTGACGGGATCTAAGTGCTAATTGCTGGTGGGGCCAAGGATGCAGGAGAGTCAAACCAACACAGCTGTGAAGGAAGAGATGTCAGTGCCTAGGGTAGACTTGTCTGTCAAGTACGTTTGAGCACGTATGATGATGACATGAATCACATCATTTAACACATGTTGCAACCAGCAGTTTGGAAAGATGTCCTGAATTTTCAAGAGAATTATCTGAAGTTTTCTGGGCAACATTTTTGTGTTAACGATCATTGGCCTCAAAAGAGCATTTAACATCCTTTCTCAAAAAGGTTTGTATGAAAAATATAATTGTACACTAACGTGATCACCCACCTAACGGTCGCTATTTTGCATACTAAATCAAGAATGCTTAGATACATAAATCTCAACAATAACCCTATCAAATTTATATATAATATGTAATTTATATATGTATATCTACATAGTAGATTATACAATTTTTAGATATTAAAAATCTGCATTATGTATTGAGTTATAAAGTGTATTAGCAGTTGATTTTCTTAATAAATTACATATATAAATTATATGAGATGTATTCAGATTACTGTATTGTTATTAATAGAACTATTCAATATTTTTCAATTAAATTCTAACAGCTATTAAAAAAATTATATAATTAATTTAAATTTCAATTTAGGAAACAGAATCACGGGATTTGGAAATATTGAAATTTTAAAAGGAAAAAGGTCTCTACTTTTATATAAATACACTGAAAACGATAGCGAACGATAGCCCTGATCGCAGGGAATCTCACGACACCCAGCAATCCCCTGTTGAGGTGGCGCTGGTGCCATGGTTGTGATGGAGGAAATCGTGGGACGCGCTGACGGACGCCCGCGAGAAGAAAACTCTGACAAGAGGCAGCAGCCCACCACATGTGGAGCAATATTGACACAGTTGAGCAATGTTTCTTTGCAATGGGAGCGAAGATCCTGCCATCTACGGCAAAGGGAAGGAGGTAGTGGAGGAGGCAGCCAGGTTGGTGAGGGAGTTGAAGATCAAAC